AACCAAAACTTGCCAGACTTGCGTTTGTTGAGCTGCGACACGTTGAGGAAGGGAAGGGAAAGTTTGTAGCCGTTGGAATGTTGGCCTTGCTTCCAGTTATATATTGGCTTCAGTTGTAACACTCTTGTGTTATAGTTAGTAGAGGGGACGCATATCTCCATTTTCATGTTACAAACCAGGAGTTCCTTATTTTTGTAGGGGCAGAATCTACTGCATCTAGTCTGTATTTTCTGTTGCCTTTCCTCTCATTTATCAGCCTCGGAAGGAAGAAAGGCGGGTTAGCTAGACCGGAGCTGTAACCCAGGAGCTTTCGGTTCTGAGTCTGACGCTCCAGCGATCGAATAACCAGTGTAAACAACAACGTGTTGTAAATTCTTTGTTCAAGGGATTTGGTGCTGAAGAAAAAGATTGTCCACCGCCAGAATCGAGCTCGAAATCTTTAGAGGTCGAGTTCGAAGCCGACCTCTTAGACACTGTATTTACACATCCAAAGGACCAGCGCTTGAACGTCACTCATTTTTATTTTAGTCGCAATTGATTACATTCGAACAACCGTTAGTCACGGAATGCGTTGTGTATCTGAAAGTAGGTTGAAACGCGTCTGTTGGTAATTGCTTATGCCGCCGTACATAACCGTGAATCAACCTTTTTAATGACGTCCGTGATATGAAGACAGCCAGACAGGCGGATGGACGTCTGGAAAACGAGAGCTTGATGAAAGGAAGCCGCTGCCACCTTCGTTGGAATTTTAAGACTCGTAGTTGCATTAAAGCACTGCTACCATAAACCTCTTTATCACATTCAACCCGTCTTCGATGAGTCCCGCTGGCGCAATCATTTTTTGACACCGAAGAACGCAGATGAATGCTGTTTTAAGCTGTACGTCTGACAGTAACAAATGTCTGTTTTTTTTTGCGATGTTGAGGAAATATTGGCCATTGGTATCAACCTGATGATTAGCTTGCCCTCACCGCCATGGCGCCGATATCATCGGTGGAAGCGATGACGCCGCTTTACAGAAGCTGGTAGTCAGAAAACCCCTAAAGTAATTCTTTGGTTATGTATCGATTCGCCGCAAACACTGGGGTTCTAAATGTCGTCGTCTGATCATTTAGGGCTGTTAGTATCTGCAGAATTTTTTTTATTTTTCGGCATACTTCGCGTATTTTGACGATTAACCTACTTCGGTGTTGCTGTTTCGTTTGCATTGTTTGACCCGGAAAATTCGCTCGTGCTACTTTAAAGGTTGGCATTCGTTTTTCTGGCTGAGTAGCCAAAGACTCTGAGGATGGCCAAGAATGGCTTGGGACGGATGCCTTGACGGATTTTGCTCAAGACTCGGGTTTTCTTATGCGGTAGCTCAGACACTGGCGCAGGTTCATGATTGTTGGAGGCACTGTCTAGGGAGTCTGCCTTCCCGACGCCAAAGCTTTAACGGTCATCGAAGCTGACTGACTGACTGGCTGACTGACAGATTTGTTTCTCTTATCCACTTGCGATCTCACATCAAGCTTCGGTCCTAAGGAACAAAGCCAATTTTTGGTCTACTTCGCTTGATAGCAGTCTTCTTTATTTTCAGTTGAAACACGGATTAGCTTTTATTTCAGCGAACAGGAACAATCGGATAGTAAAAAGCACGAGCCTTCCGTCGGTTAGGAGACGTGTGACGAAAGCGAGTCGCTGTATTTACGAAAAAGTCACAGTAAGGGATGCGGAAGATCCAATTTAGCAATATTGACCGTATTGGAACGTAGATAGCGGTTGGCTGAACGACCATAGATTCACACTGTAGGCGAGAAATCAAGGTGAAATTGCTTCATTGATGGATGGAAGTGCTAGTCACTAATTTCACATCACGCTGTCTCAGAACTGGCCACTTATCCGCACTTTGTGATTAATAATTATTTAAGGTTTCCTTAGGATGTTGTTTTACTTTTGTTTTCGGAAGATCGCGAGACAGTTCCACGTCAGCAAGTAATCAAGGTGACTGGAATTGTCATAATTCATATGATCAAGAGTAGCTTAAGATAAGTTTCATACCATTGATATCGTATCAAAGTGACTGAAAGTGTTGGTAACACTTTGATGCGTTTTGTAGTGATGCCTTAGTGTGATATATCTAGGTGACAGTGATCGCTGATAGTGACGTGGTATGATCTTTCTTGGAGTTACACCTTATGCTGATTATGATATTGGATCTGCTGGCAGGTGGATCAGGGCGAAGTACAACGGGCGCTAGCCAGGCGACAGCGTGACCGTACAACTTATCGATTTTGGCATGATCACACCGGAATACCATACTGTCCATGCGATTCACAGGTCACCGACTGCTACGTCTTTCTAGGCTAGCGGCACCGAAGCAACATTGGGTAAATTCTTTACACATGTGTCCTTGAGCAGATTCGAACGCGTCACCCCTTGTGTTCGAAGCCTACCTCTTTCCTGTCGTGTCACCGCGCCCTATATGAGGAATATGAAAAACTGATTTTATAGTTTTTATCTATCTAATGTTATTACTGATGTTATACTAGCCGACAGTGTCACATTTGTTGGTATCTTCTCCGAGTTGGTTATTTTTATCCCCGGCCATCTGTTGGCGTTATGACATATGTCATTCAGAAGACCAGCATGGAACATGAAGGAACAAAGTACATGCTGATCTGCCTTCGAAGAGCAATTATTCCCTTTACAATGGAGTATCAACGCCACAGTTCACGCTCGAATGTTCAGAAACTGAGAATACAGCGGGCATCACAAATCAGGGACCTGCTGATCATGCTAACGACTCAAGTTGATGATGTCTACACAACACCATAGTTGAAAAGAAAGTGCAGTTGTGTCGAACGCACTAAATGGTTTTGCAGTAATGATGTTCATGGAATACACCCGAAAGAAAGATACTGGGATATGCAGTTGTTTGAAGTTCATTTACGCGTGCACTACCCGTTGGATAGCGATATGGTTTTGGGTTTGTTCTGATTCAGCCGTGATTTGCATAATCATTGAATTCATCTTCGTTTAAATAATTACTAAAAAATAAACGTATAACTTGATGAGCAAGGAATTTTATGTATTTGTGTCCGTATCCCATGTCCTTTGAAAGAGCGCGAGGTGGCTCTAGCGAAAGAAAAAGATGTCAGATGCATCTGGCACTGCAGATACTCAGATACCGTGGGTCAGTTGACTTTCTGAATTATTAGCAAGGAGCGGTGCCGCGCCATGAAATCTGATCTTGGAAGTTTGTTTGCGTTATCAGTTTCTTTAGTTATATTTATTTAAACATGTAAGTAATAAATTAGTCTTGCTATTTTTCGTCCTTCATCGGACTTGTCTTGTTTGTCGGCGCGTCACAAATAGACTTCAAAGCTCCTCAAATCTTCCCCTTTCTTGCTCATTTTTTGGCAAATAATTATTCGGCAGTCCATTTGAAGAAGAGGGAGAGCCAAACTTCATGAACTATTGCTTTTCCAGTCCTAATAAATGTCATGGCTTGCCTGATGCGCAGAAATTTTGTTTGTTTTGCCTTCGGTCGTTTCGAATTACTGTGTTATAAGTTAGGGTTAAATTAATGCAATTGCTTAGCACTGAAATCTCGTTGCAACTGTCTATTGGTTGCAACGGGGTTTCGATGCGAATCGTTTTACGACGTTTTTCTAGCCACCTTTCCTGAACCCAAAAACTCGCGTCTCACAGCGTACTTCATTCTGACCAGCAGCGCAAGTAACTCAATTTACGATTTTGCAGTAATGAAATCGTTCACAAAAACGGTAGGAATTCAGTGGTGGACGTTGGAGGGTCGTCATACCAAATCGTTAACTTTCAAAGAGTAGGTCTGATATTTGATACGGTTGAGCACTTCATTCTTTGCTTCGCCTATGAACAATTTTCCTCATGTCTCTGACAGGTAAATCGGTCGAATTTCAGCCTAGCTTTCAAAGGTGTCAATAGATGTTCGGATGATTGCATGCAAACAAAAGTATAAGAAATGTCTATTTGAGTGTCAGTACTAGTGTTGGTAAAGTATGGGGTTAAAAGTAACTTCGATGTTTTCGGATAGCTACGAATGACAGCTTTCCAATTCCACTGGTGAATGTTACATTTCACTTAATGATACCGGATTTATACGGCGAGAACGCGCTGTCCCTTTGCTTCCAGTTGTCTTGAGTGACCATTTAAGCATTTCATGTTTCCCATGACAGTATTTGAAATAATCTTTACTGCAGAATGGGAAGGCTGCCATTCGTGAAAGCTGTTTCAGAACATTGTGGCTATATTTGATAAGTAGTACTATTAAGAGTTATGTAATTAATATTACATTTTGATACTTTGAATAATATTGGTAATATTACAACTTGCTGAGTTTGTATACACCTGTAGTAAAAATATGAAATTTCCACTGTCATGAGTTAGTGGAAATAGCGAGAACCTCTGGCATAAATAACGCATTTGGCGTCATGAGCTACTTCGTTCAGCCGTCAGTCGTTTTCAGTGGTGCATGGTTTGGGAGCGCTTTCAGCTGTCAATCATGATAAGTAATTTTGTTATTCCTGGACCTGTCTACTGTTTTTTTTTTGCTTTTTCAGATCTGTGACATGTCGGAAACCGTAGCGGACGTCGTCTTCAAATGCTCGCAGTACTTCAGCGCTCAAAAAGGTTTTGAGTGCTATCCATTTCAGGTAAGATGATATATTCATTTGATTTGGTGAGGTAAGGAGCAGAGGTTGATGGTCACAGTACCCTCATCATGTCCGCAAACTTTCGCAATAGTCACAGCAGGCCGTCATCGAAAGACAACTGATGAAACACAGAGGAAGTTGAGGCACATTGTCTAAGCAGAGCTTCCAGTTATAAGGAGCTTAACGCTGCCCTCGCTAGAGGTGCGGTTCATCGGCTCAGCGTATTAATGAACATCACGGGTGACTGCCGATGATGTGATGGCTTTCAATAGACCCGTCTGCACATGTAGAATTTACAGGGATGTTCAGAGACTTTTCGATGATGTGTATGTCACAAAGTAGCTAAACACGGATTGTTGTTCTTGGCTACTAATTAAATAAAATTTTGGCCTGACTGCCATGTCGAATTTATTAAATATGCATGTAAAGGTTATTTGCGATGTTTAATTTAAAATGAAAGACGTATTTAGTTTCATTAATAGAGTATGTCTTTCGCGAATTTGTTATTGTTTTGTTTTATTATTTTACTCATATTTTCTCGCACATACTTTTTATTCAAAACCAACTAGACGGTGACTCACGCGTTATTAAACCAAATATATAGCATGATCGCACCATTCCTGTTTTGTTTTACTTGCTATTCTTATGCTGTTTTTCTTTATCTTCCAGATTTTGATTCATGTCTTTTTAATGATATTTTAAACGGCAATATAGCGAAGTATCTATTGTTATAAAACCCAGAATATTATTTTGGTATGTGATAATGAAAATTATTAACGTTGGCGGATAAATTTATTCATATTGAGTTTAGTATAATGATACGATGTTACAGTGCACCACGTAGCCATAAAGTACTTTAGGCCTCTCTAAGCAGGCGAATTGTATGACTGTGTTAAGTAGATCGGGTACATCCGAGTAAAACTTGTATAAGTTATTCTAACAGCGGTATTCGAAGCCTAACTTTTGTTAGTAAACCCAGATTATAGTGTCTGTTGTTCGATCGCCATTATGTAAAAGTAAGAATCAACTAGCGCTCTTCACCAGCTCCTTCATTCGCTATTCGTTCAATTCTCACTTGGTGCTTCTAGGTAGGCTGGTATAACGAGATAGTAAGTGCAGCTTTCCAGCTACCGTACCCAGCCACCTCTCTAGCTGTGCTGGTCATTAGCACTCCACCGATGTTCACGCATCTGTTCCTGCCTTGGCTGAAGGAACAAACGCAAAAGTTGCCGCTTCCACGCGACCCAATTG